CCCAATTCAATTGCCGGTCGTTCTCCTTTGGAAATCAAATTGGTGATATCCCAACTGTATGGAAATAGCTTTTCATCAAACGGGTCTTTCCATGTCAAACATTCCAAAACAGTAATCGCAAATGAGTACACGTCTGCTGAAAGTGTATACTTCTCGACATTTGTGATTTCAGGTGCCATAAACTTTGGTGTACCAATACCTTTCGTGTACATCATGTTATCACACAGACTGTTGACGTTTCTTGACGCTCCAAAATCAGTCAATTTTCCATTAACTTCGTCGTTAAAATCAAGTGAAGTTACAAGTGTGTTGTCTGACTTGATGTCTCTGTGAAGAGTGTTATTTGCGTGTAAATACTGAATTCCCTTAGCCGTGTCCAACATCAGTTTGATTCGCATTTTCATGACAATTTCGCCAGACTTTTTATGTTTCATCATGTCTTGCAGACTGCCATATTTTGCCAATTCAGTGACCATACATATCCGATTTGGGATGAAACACGCTCCATAGAATCTTATGAGATATGGACTCACAAATTTGGCCAACATCGCAACTTCCTTTCTAAACTCGTCCATCTTCTTATCCATCTGTTTCTCAGCAGCGGTTTTGTCTCTTGTTGTCATCGAAGAGTTGTTAGTCGTGTTATTTTTCGTCGTACTTTTTGTTGTGTTCTTTGCCAAATTACGACTTGAACTTTCAACAGTCGAATTCTTTGTAAACCCTTTTGCTCCTAATTTTGCGACAACCATTTCCTTCATCTCTTTGATGGCAACAACATTTCCTCGATATGTACCTTTGTACACAATCCCAAAACTTCCTTCTCCAAGTTTTCGCTTTTTCTTCAACTCGTCTGGGTCAAGTGCTGTCGACATTTCTGACGCAAATTTGACGGGAATTTTAATCTCTGATATTTTGCCTTTGTTGATGTTTAAGACTGAACAAGTAATGTCAACAGTCTTCTCAGGTGTACACAGTGGATGAACAGAAACAGTAAATTCAACAGCACGACCTTTCTTGATACTTACTGGAATGGAAGGTTCAACATTCAATTCAAACTTTTCTTCGTCGTTTTGTGTTGTGAATGAATGAAT